CTATCAACATATCGATGTATTCTTCTTCCCAATACCAAAACTTGCATCCGTTCTACACAATAAAACTTAAAGTTAGCACCACTAGTCTAATCGAAAGCATAAACCGAAGCTAAAAGAGCACATACCCCATCGTTTAAGCACTTGATGAACACCCATCCGGGATGCTCCGGCGTTGTAGACACGCGGCGCACGACCACCCTTGGGCAGTGGTCGCACTTGATGAGGGGCAACGGTGCGCCGACGAGCTTTTGGGCAAGCACCGAGCCCGGCCGTCCGCCATTCGCGTATCTGCCGGCGGGCCACCGACGGTGCAGATCCGAGCGGCTAGAGGACGAGTCACTGCCTGCATGTGGCCTTGCGGCCCTGACAGGGCCTTCTGGCGAGGTTCCCGGCCAGTCCATGGCGCGACCCGGCCTCCCACAGCCGGGCGAGCTCAAGACCGACCGGATCCGCCTCAAATCCGGCCGGCGGGTGCGCAAACAAGGTGGCCGTGCTTGGGTAGCTCGGCGGCGACGAGAGGAAGGGGCTGGGCAAGCGCGCATCCGAGTTGCACGGCTGCAATGGCAGCGGGCGGCCGGCGGCAGCGAGGGGAAGAGAGGGGAAGAGTGGAGTGGATGAGGCCGGAGGGAAGAAGGGGGGCGGATAGAAAAAGGCCCGTCCTGTGCCACCGACGGGCGGGCCAGGTGAGGACACGCGCAGACGACCCGCGCGTCCGCGTGGTGTCCGTTTCACCCCAAAAGCGCGCAAAGTTGGGCCGCGGATGGGTCGAAAGAGGACACAAAGCGGACAAAAGTCCGTTTGCGCCTGCGCGCTGGGCGTTTCGTTTGTCCCTTTTATCCCAAACGGACGGGGACGGACAGTATAGGGTCGCGCGGTGGGGTTGGCCTAACTTTCAGCCCATTTTCCTGGAAAAAAACTTTGAGCCCATTCGTGTGTCCGCTCAGAACCTAGTGCTGGGCCTGGTTGTTGTAACAGCAGGAGGAGGGCCCACAGTCTAACGTAGCTGGGCTTGGGCAGTCTACACTCCAGGCGTGCGCCTGGCACGGACCCCGACCCCGCACCCCACACTGCGCACCACGAGCCGCGTCCGACTGCCGAGAGAGAGACAGAGAGCTCGGAGAAGCCAACGCCCAATCGCCCACGCTTCCACCTCCCCCTCCACGAGGCAAGGTAGGAAACCCTAGGCAACGACCATGGCGCTGCTCCCGCGCACGGCCCGGCTGGCCCTCCTCTCCGCGTCGCCGCGGACGTACTCCGCCGCCGCCGCGGCGGGCGCCTCGCCGACCCCACCGGCGCCCTACGCGGGCGTGCCTCCGCCGGCGGCGGGGTCCAAGGCGGCCGAGTTCGTGGTCTCCAAGGTGGACGACCTCATGAACTGGGCGCGCCGGGGCTCGATCTGGCCAATGACCTTCGGGCTCGCCTGCTGCGCCGTCGAGATGATGCACGCCGGCGCGGCCCGCTACGACTTCGACCGATTCGGCGTCATCTTCCGCCCGTCCCCACGCCAGTCCGACTGCATGATAGTCGCCGGCACGCTCACCAACAAGATGGCGCCCGCCCTCCGCAAGTCGGTACCAAACTCCCTCCTCCGTTGCCGCTCAGATTTCGCATGCGTGCGCCCGATTTGGGCGCGCCCGCTTAGATCTCGGAAGGGATTTAACTATAAATCAATTGAATCGGATAGAAGTTCTCGCTCAAATATTTATTGAATTCGCTGTTTGTGAGGATCTTCTCATTGGCACAGACCACGAATGTGAATGTTATCCACGCTCCAATAGTGTACAAAGTTCTTGTTCCCCATTTTCGAATTTGATTTCGAAACCTGCCACAAATGAACACCGCTCGTACTAACTCCATTTTCCCCATCTGTGTATTTGATTTGAAGACCTGCTAGAAACAACACCAACTCTGATCGTTAGAATGCGTGGTTTGCATAAATGGACCACTTCAGGGGATGAAACACATAAATGCTTACATTCCAGCATCCATATTGCTAAATACTATCAATACATCATGACTACAAGCCTGCCTACTGCATATTGCTAAAACTAGAGCCTGTGATAAACACCATAATTTAAGTATAAGCCAATTGAATCTGAAAGGAATTCTTGCTCAAACCTTTGTGGGGATCTTCCCGCAGGCACAGACCACTAATGTGATTTCTACGCTCTAATAGTGTACGGAGTTCACGTTCCTCATTTTAAATTTTGATTTGGAAACTTGTCACAAAATGAACAACAGCTCGCCCTAAGTCCTTTTTCACTATCTGTGTATTTGATTTGGAGACCTGTCAGAAACAACACCAACTCTGATCGTTGGAATGTTTGGTTTGTGTAAATGGACCACTTCACAGGATGAACACAGAAATGCTTATACATTTCAGCATCCCTAGTGCTAAATACTATCAATGCATCATGATTGCAAGCATGTTGTCTGCATATCGCTAAAAGCAGAAGCCTGCGACGAACGCCATAATTTAATTTAAGTATCTTCCCTGCATGGCTGAAGAGATTTCACAACATAAGTTGTTTTTATGTTTAGGTTGGGCCAATCCCATGACTAGTTCTTAGGCTCTTAGACTATTGATTACTCAATCTCACAAGTGAAGAAGCATTTGCTGACTTGTTAGATAGAGTGTGAACATAGGTTATTTAGGCTTGCTAAGTTTCAATATCCTATTTCCTGTGATAATGTGGTGCTGTTAATATCCAAATATTTCTGTATTTCGACACAAATAGTATCAAAAAGGAAGAAAACATGCACGGACTACTTTATATATGCATGAACTTGTTTAGCCAAGAGAGTGGGACATAAAAAGAATTTAAATCTGATCATTTTGGTAACCGATTGATGTGCTTTTGTGGCACCTTAAGAATTACTCCCTCTGATTCACATTGCAAGTAGTTTAGCACATTGACACAGTTGTCAAAGTAAGTACTAACTTACTTCTCAGAAAAACATGCTGTTTCAAACAAAACAATTTTACCAAGTGCTAGAAGCTCCTGCCCTAGGTGAGGTCCGGGGAAGGGTTATACGAGGCAACTCTTTCTCCTGCACAGTGAAATGCAGAGAGGCTGTGTTGAACCCAGGACGTCTTTGCACGAGTGGGGAGTACTTCACCACTGTGCCAGACCTGTCTGTCAAACAAAAGCAATTGTATATATTGATTATAGTAATATCAATTTGATATTATTCATATTGGTAATTTGTTACATAGTGATGATCAAAAACTGCTTACATTCATTGTTTT